TACCTTGCGCACGCCACATCAAAGACAACACGCACGAAGAATCTGCCACATCTGAGAAGGCAAATTGGCACACGAGTGCGTGGAACAAACTGGCCATGGTCATTGGTGCGGGTGCTCATCTCTGAACAAAGACCCCCAGCCCTCTGCGAGCCTGGCCCCAGGAGCCCAGAAAGGGGAAATCCGCCCCAAAGGGCCCCTGGGCCACGGGAGACGACCGTTTCTGAGCATTTGCACCTGTTTCTTCTTAACATTAAAGCAACCTCCTATTAAGTCTCTCGAGGTGTAGCTACCACATCGGTTGCAGAAGAGAACGCCTTGCCCCGTGGCCAGCACCCTGGCCACCCTGAACGAGCGGGGGGGGGAAGGGGGAACAGGAGGGTAAAGGAGGGAGCGGAGGGAAGGGGCAAGGGGGCCACAGGCCGAACTCTCGGCCGCTTTCGCTGTCCGAAAAGTTCGGGCACAATCATAACACTGCCAAACATTGCCCATCCATCTGATTTTGTGGGCAAGATAGACATGCTGGAGCTTCTCAGGCCTGGCACGCGGGGCCTTGCCTAGCTCACCAAACAGTTCACGTGCTGGGGGCCACTCTGCTAAGACAGCCCCAGCGAAATCAGCAACTTGGTTCCATTTATTAAGCTGTGCGGTGATGGTGGCCACATCTTGGGGGGACCTATAAAATCCCGCAGCTTCCTTGGCATACACATCGGCCCAATTGTTGCCGCGTGTCTTCCACCTGGGTTGGGCCTCTGAGTCTTCCTCTAAATGGGCTTTCACCTTGTGGATGGTCCAGGCCCTGGGGGTCACCCGCTTGATCCGCCTCCAGTGGCCGCTCTGGACCGTGGTACCTCTCGAGGCCTTCATCATGTCCTTGGAGCCCCATATAAGCGCAGAGCAATCCACGAACGCGTTCAGATCAGCCTCTTCCTCTGGGGGGGGGTCCTGGTCCTGGTGCTCGATCGTGTGCATCAACCCATGGTGCTCGGCAAGTACTGCTGTTTGGGGAAGCCCACGAGCGATGGACCCCATCAGCCCCCTGATCAGGTTCCCATCATCGTCCACCTCCACAGCGGCCCAACCCCCTCGGGCTCCCACATCAGTTTTCGGGTCCCAGACAGAGCCGCCCGAAAAAACCTTGGCGTTGTGCGGGAGGGTGAACGGGTCAATCGGCCCATTCTCGTCGAAATATCTGACAAAGTCCTCTACTGGGGCCTCCAGCTCAATCTCGGGCACAGGGATCCACAGCGAGCTGAACAGCGGGTCCTGCTCGCCAGCCGTGAGGGCCTCCTCGAGAAGGTCCTGATCCAGCGCAATCCTAGCAGATGCCCCATGAGGGCAAATCCAGATCCTGTGCCACACGGAATCTATGGCCTCACAGAACTTACAGAATGGGGTAACTTCATATCCCCACCGATTTAGCGAAGCCGCGGTGGTGCACGCACGACAGAAAACCTTTCGGAGAATCTTTTTCTGGGCAAAACTACACCCTTTGCTTCGCATCCTCGAACGAATGGGCTGGGTCCAAAGGCCTCGCTCCTGAATTTCGAGCACCCTTGGATGATCCCAATCCTGAACTATCTTGTTGACGCTCTCCGCCAAATACTTCTGCTTGAGATCCTGAACGAAAATCTTGCGTACCAACTCTGGCGGCGAGTCCGTCATGCCAACAGGTACACCGCTCGCTGATGTGAAGCTAGCCTGGTTATTGAAAATCCACCCGGCCTCAACACCCCACAACAGAGCGTCCAAAATAGGGTGCGTGCCTCTTCTGCGCCAGCCTAAACTCGGAGGTGTCGCGACCAACGTCTCTAAGCACGCATGAAAAGCTTTGGTGAGAGTGCCAGCACTTAAACCATCAGACGCCCGCAGCTGCGGGCCTGTAGCCTCCCACCATTCACGAGCATATCTTACAATAGTGTCACCAGCATGGTTGATCGGGTCCTTCGAGCTCTCCGTGGCCCAGATGAGGTCAATGGAAGCCCCTGGGCACCAGATACCAAGCGCCTTAGCCCCCAAGACTCTGAGCTTGTGAACTTCACGAGGACCCAACCCAACAACGTCGCTGCCATACGTCATGCTCGGCTTCTGTCCCACGAAAAACAACTTGGCCTTGGATCCAGCTTTTCCTCTGAGGTTCCTGATCTTGGGCATCCTCCTGAGAGCCTTAGACCACCTACTGCGCCTTTTAGCCAAGTTGGGGACCTTTTTGGAGCACACACGGGGACCTTTGACGGAGTGGACCTTGTTGGGCAACCTCGAGACCTTAGAGCCTATGGAGAAGTCCACCCCCAAGTTCACCACCTCCCCCGTGAGCGTGTGCGCGTACTGGCCAAAACACTCCTGGGCCCCCTCCATGACCTCCTTCGAGTTGGAAGTGAAGCAACCTTTCTTCAGCGAGATCGGGAGCCCTAGACGGTTGGCACACGCACTGAAAAGTTGTCCTGCCATCTGCGCGATGCAATTCAAACAACCTGCTACCTCTCTGTGGGCTCCATCCACTTCGAGGTCATCAACATGGATCGTGAAGCTTGTGTTCTCAATGGGCTCTAGATCCTGGACCATGGGCACCATGAACGCTTTTATCTCAAAGGTAGCTGTACTGCTTCCCGCAACAATTCCCTGGTCGGGGTAGAGGAGAGGAGAGCAGACACGATCCATCATAATCACTCTTGGCCACCTGTAGCTGGAGATGGCAGTGCGCAATACGTGCAGTGGGAAATCCGCGAGCTTGCACTCCTCCCACAGTGACAGATGACGCACATGTTCATAGCACTGCAGAAGGTCAGCCAGCAACATACCTACCTTCATCCCACTCTCGTCCGCCAAAGCACTTCTAACCGCCTGCCTCCAAACTCCATCGGTGGTACTTCTCCTAGGTGCCATGTTAAAAACTCCTCCATCCTCCAGCTGAGTCTCCCACTCCTTGCAAAAACCTGCCGAGACCTTCGAGTAGATCCGTGAATAGCTCTGGAAGAAGCCTATGGGCCGCCTCCCTGTCTCGGGCTTCTGGAACAGTTGCACGAGCAAGATTCGCAATGGGGATGGTGCATGGCCCATTGCCGCCTGCAGCGAGAAAAGGGAAGACATTGTCTCGAGTGCCTCGTCGGAGAGATACGCATAGTGTCGAGGATGAAACCCGTCAACCGCTATCGTGTTCGCCTTGAAGCCTCTCGAAATCTTCCTCAAGGCATCTGCAGAGGGCGCCTCAGGGATGACATAGTCGGGAGGGAGGGGCAACTGCAGGGGCTCCTTGCGGGTCTCCTCCGCCTTCCAGGCAGTTTTCCAGAGATTCTGCTGAGCCGCGAACCTGGCACTGAAGCTGCTCGTAAAACCTCCCTCCTCCAGCTGAATAACATCCTCCTTGAAGTAAGTCGCAACCTTGGTGTATGCGTGGGCCCATCGGGCCCCCCCTTGAAGAGCCTCCGAGCACCAGTCAGACCATTTCTGGTTGCTGTGGGTCTTTTCAACCTTGAACGCCTGCTGCTCGATTCTGGCCGCGAAACTCGCCCAAGCACTCAACTCGAGTTCAGCTTCTAGCCACGGTTCAGACGTAAGCGATAACAACTTCCTGCCCACATACTGCATGAGCGGCTTCCAAAACGGCTCACCTTCTGGCCATAGACGCTTAAAAGGGAGCCTCCGCCCACGTGCAGCATGGGTCACCAGTCTAAGATAGTATGGCACACTGTTCGGGCTGCCGTGCTTCCGAAAAAGGGCTAGGAACTCCTGCAAACGCCTAGCCACCCAGCCCACAGCACGTGACACAGACTTGAACGGGCTGCTCTTGGTGATCAGAAGTTTTGCCAGCGAGACAGACTCGAAGACAAAAGGGGACCCTCCAGGAAGCCCACGGACATCCTCAGCGTTGGCCTGGAACACCCCCTCGAGCTCCCGCCGCGCCCTGAAAGCCCATTCCTGGTAAACACGGTCCAGAATTTGCTGAAACTCGTCCAGACGAGCACCCGGAACAGGTTGAAGCCCCCCGTCGTCCAGCCTGAGGTCCTCCAGGGGTCCTGCAAGAGCGGCCTGAAGGTCACCAAACGAAGGCGGGGCTGGGGGGGGGCCCACAGGCCTCTGGTGAGGGAGGCGCTGGATCCGAGCAAGTTTGGAAACCATTATCGCCCCCGTGTCCTCAGCCAGGCCAAGGTGAACAGGGCGGTGCGGCGGCACTGCTGCTCCCAGATCTGCCTCGCAGAACTGCACCCCGAAGCTGAGCGAGTGGCTGCATATAAAATAATCTAGAATTGCCGCGTGATCTGGTTGTACCAGAGTGAAGTCTTCTGGCTGAACGATCTGCCCTCCATATCGCCCTGGTGCCAGGCCGCTTGACAACACTGCTGGCTCCAGGTTGAAGTCACCTCCTGCGATGAACGGGGTCCCGATCTCCAGAACGCTCTTGCCCAAAGCCATCCCCAGCAACACGTTTTCTGGCCCCAGGCCCGATCCAGAGTGCCAGTAATTGCAGAAGATGCTCAAGAGCCCGAAAGACCGAGACCTGAAAAAACACTGTAAAATTCTACCAGGGGAAATTATGCCAAGGGTACGGGGGTCCACCCAGAGATCAAGATGTTTCCTGTACACAATGGCCACCCCCGCGCTCGGGAACCCCTTCCTACCTTGCAGACAAGGGGCCCAAAAAGAAGCCCACCCACGCTTCAAAAGGGCGGCTTTCACTTCAAACACACGATTCAGAACTAGTTTGTGCTCCTGGACTAGCACAATAGACGCATTGCACGATTTCAGGAACTCAGAAGTGGTATTCCAGCAGGAGCCGTTGACCGTACAGATCTTGAACCCCCGCTGTTCGGCTCTGTCACCTCGAGCCTCTCTAACGGGCCCCGCATCCCCAGACACAGGTCCTGGTGTGAAACATTCGTTGCTGGCGTCCCAGGGGGGCAGTCAAGGACCACCCTCGCGAGTCCTGGCCCTCTCGGCCGCCTCACGCTGCTCGCGCGATCGGCTCCGCCGAGGCGACCGCCCCCCTGAAAGATCAGAGGCGTTCAGACCGCCTTGCCCTGCCCCATCTGCTCCTGCGGGCAGGACTGGCGGCGGTGCTGTTGCCCCCGCCGCCACGCCGTTGCCGTCGAGCTGCATGGAGATAGCCCCGCCTGCTGGTGGCTCCGCTGGTTGTTCAGCTGGCGCCGTAGCTGCTGGTGCAGTGGCTGGCTGCGCTGCTCCTGTGGCCCCCGTGGTCTGCACAACGACTGGGACTGCCTGGTTGGTTGTCATCGCCGCCGCCAGCGCCTGGAAGGCCGTCACTAAGTTGGGGTCACCCGCCGCTGCCATGCCCATCGCCTCCAACGCCGACTTCATGGCACAGAAGCTGGCTGCTGCTGCCTGTGGCGGTGAGGCTGGGTGCTGGTGCTGGCGAATGAGTTCATTCTGCTCATCCTGGAGGGACTGGACCTCGGACCTTGCCGTGGTCAGGAGCGCCTCCTCGTTGCTGATCTTATCCTCTATCTCCGTTACCTTCGTGCGGGCTGCTTCAAGCTGTTCTCGGAGCTCGGCAAGGCTGCGTTCTTTCGCCTCGATACTCTTCATCTTGCCTTTCAGACGTTGGGTGTTGGCCTGGATCAGCTGGGTCGGGGTCTTCTGAGCATCCCGCTTGGCCCGCACCTCGTTCAACACACCGTTGAGGGGGTCGAGGAGCTGCTTCTGGGCTTCCACTGGGAGGTCGAGCCGTCCTACCTGATCAACTGCCGACTGGAGCGTCTGAATGGTGGGGCCTAGCTGGGGTCCAGCCGCGACGCCCTCCTGCTTCATGGGCGACGGGCCTTTGCTGCCTGTCGCCTTGTCACTTGCCCAAGGCCGTGGCGCCTCGGGCTGGGCGCTGGCACTGGGCGGGGTGGCCTGCCAGTGGCCACCACATTGCCAGCACCACTCGAGGTTCAGAGAAACCTGGGCCTTGCATGCTTTACAACTCCAAGAGTGGGCTGCAGGAGACTTTGGCTTCTCCTGGCCCTTGCCTTTCTTGCTAGCCTTGTCCTTGCCGCCTTTTCCCATGCTGCAACTGCTGTGGTGAGCTGAGAGAAGGGCTCTGGCGTCAGACAGGCGAAGGAGGACCCTGGCGAGGCCTCTCTTCGCTCGGAGGCGGCGGTGCCAAGCGGGCTCCCCGCCTGACCGCCGCTTCCGCACCGCACGGGCGCGGTCGCTGCACGCTATGGCGCGCCCCGCGACGCGCGTGGGCCCTGGCCGCGCGCGGGTCGTCCCAGATCGGTCTGCAGGGATCAGGTCGGGCAGCAGGCGCCGAACTGACCCCGATCGCGAACCGATGATCGGGCGCCGACCGCAGAGGCCAAATGGGCTTGAGCCAAAATGGCTTGAGCCAAAATGGCTACGGACTCCTCCTCCCCCTCCTCCTCCTCCTCCTCCTCCTCCTCCTCCTCCTCCTCCTCCTCTGGAGCCTCTGGAGCCTCTGGCGGACGGTGCCTCGATGAGACGCAGCCCGAACGGGTTCAGAAGAGGACCACGACGAACGCGTCGACGAAGCCGAAGCACGCTGACGAAGCCCTCCACCTGCACCTTCATGCCAGCCTCGAGCACGCGGAGCCTAGGAGCAGCGCCACAAGCATGAACTGGCACGAGGTTCACGGAAAAACTCACTGTTGATTGAAAGACGTGTCCTCAGGAACCAATCTCTTTTCCGTCATGGCCCCGACAACACCACACTTCAGCCTGGCCAGCTTCCGCTTGAACGGATGAGGGTGGAGTATGCTCCTCTTTGACGGCCTTTTTTTACTTAGGGCCCCGACTGTCTGGGAGTGCATCTCCTCGACGTCCTGCAGCGGGTTCTTGGCCCCGCCTTCCCCCTCAGAGCCGTCGACCAGAGCGGGGGGGCACGCCCCTGGTCGGAAACTGCCACGCCGTCTGCTCGCCGCCGTCGTGCTCGGACGTCTCAGCGAACAGGTGGGCGTTGCCGCTTCCTTGCGCCGACAGCCTCCATCCCCCGGCAAGGCCCTCTCCGAAGGCCTTGGCCTCGACGTGCGGGGGTATCACCTGCCACTCACCTGGCGCCAGGAAAGGGCACACGGGGCACTCAACGCCGTAGCTATAGATGCCCTGCTTGTCGCCGTCGCTGTCCAAATTGTCGAGCTCCTGCGTGCCCGCAGAGTCGCACCAGGAGATGTTCTCGATTTTGGACGCGACGGACCTCCTCGCGCTCCGCTGGAGCCGGTTGAGCTCTGTCATCGATGCCGCCGAGATGTCTTGAGAACTCGTGTGAGGCCAGATTCCGCTTGGCCTTCTTCTCCACCGAGATGGTTTTGCCCGTGAGACCTGCCGCGAGCACTGGAACAATTGGCCTCACTCGGGCCTGCAACTCCTCGGCGACATCGAACTTCACTAGCGTATATAGCGATCTCCACCTCAAGATCCTCGATCATGCTGAGCGCCTTCTCCAGACGTCCGGAGATTCGCTGCACCAGAGCATCCGCCGCTTCCCTCGCGCGCTGGCCGGCCGCCGAGCGTTCTGCACGAGAGCGGCCTGCACGAGCCCCATGCTGGGACCCATCCCGCGCCATCGCCTGGACCGAGCACGCTCGAACCAAACTGGCTTGAGCCAAAATGGCTACGGATTCTCCTCCTCCTCCTCCTCCTCCTCCTCCTCCTCCTCCTCCTCCTCCTCCTCCTCCTCCTCCTCCTCCTCCTCCTCCTCCTCCTCCTCCTCCTCACACACTCCCTCCGCCTACCCTGTCACGTTGTCTTTAGCTCCTTCCTGTGATCACACATCCCGTCGCCATCGACGGCCAAAACCGTCAAGGTCGGCGGCACCGGCCGTAAGGCCTTCACAATACGTAGGGTGCCGAAGTGAACAGCGGGAGCTCGTGCGACTGTTGGCATTTGGGCCTTAGTTGGGGCTCCCTATGGGGCACCGAAGCGTGCGAGGGGTGTAGCGACAAGAGAAGCGGTACGTAAATCATGTGAAATTTGGCATCGCGGCATGGACGAAGCGTGTGAGGGGTGTGCCGACGAAATGCATGGCGGGAGGTCACGTGAACTTTAGCATTCGGGCCTTAGCTGGGGCTCCCTATGAGGCTACGGAACGTGCGATTGTGTGTGCCGAAATGAGAGGCGGGAACTCATGTGAACTTTTGCATTTGAACCTTAGTTGGGCTCCCTGTGGGGCCACGGAACGTGCGAGATGTGCTGAAATAGGTGGGAACTCATGTGAATCTTGGCACTTGGGCCTGAGTTGGGGCTCCCTGTTGGGCCACGATATTGTGCGAGGGGCGTGCCGACATGAAAGGCGGGAACCAATGTGAACGTTTTGGCATTTAGGCCTTAGTTGGGGCCCCATACGGGGCCACGACACGTGCGAGGGGCGTGCCGAAATGAGAGGCGGGAGCTCATGTGAACTTTGGCATTTGGGCCTTAGTCGGGACTCTCTATGGGGCCACGATGCGTGCGGAGTCGCCGCAATGAGAGGTGGGCGCGAACGTGAAATTTTGCATGTGGGCCTTAGTTGCTGTCCGATGTAAGGGACCACGAGACATGCGAGGGGCGTGCCGAAATTAGAAGCGGGAACTCATGCGAACTTTGGCAGTTCGCCATGAGTTTGGGCCCCCTGTGGGGCCACGAAGCATGCGTGGGGGATGCCGATATGAAAAGCGGGAACTCATGTGAACTTTTGCATGTGGACCGGGCTCCTTATGGGGCCGCGAAAAATGAGAGGGGTATGCTGGAATGAAAAGCGGGAACTCGTGTGAACTCTGACATGTGGGCCTTAGTTGGGGCTCCCTGTGCCGTATGGGGCCACGAGACGTGCAAGGGGCGTGCCGAAATGAAAGGCGGGAGCTCATGTGGACTTTAGCATGTGGGCCTTAGTTGGGGACCCCTACGGGGCCACGAGATGTGCGAGGGGTGTGACGACATGAAAGGCGTGGAGGGAGTAGGAGAGAGGAGGGGGAGGAGGGAGGAGGCATGGTTATGGTATGGGCTCAAAACGAAGACCCAACACCGCGGGATGGTTGGGCAAAACTGCCGGCACTATTTTTTGTTAGACGCCCGGCATTGGAGGGTAATGGATCTACAGTCGAGACGCAGAAATCAGTACTAATCACTTCGGCCTCAGGAGGGGCTCCAGCTTGGGGGCCGCTCCTTCGATACAGATCGGGGAACGGCAACTGGCCAACAATATTTCTAGTTCGCGCGCGCGGGACCGCCCCTGGGGGTCCCCAGACAAAAAATACCCCCGCAAACCTCCGACCGGCTGCCGGCCAACTCCCGGCTGGGTCCCGGCCGGGTCCCAGCAGGCTCCCGAGAGCGCTCTAAGAGCGCTTCAAGTGGCCTCCAAGAGAGCTCAACATGGTCCGAGACGGTCCCAGAGCGATCCAAGACGCCAAAGATTGCCTCCAGACAGCCCAAAGCGCCTTCAAGACGCCCCAAGAGGCCTTCAAAAGACCTCCCAAGAGGGCCCACAGAGGCAGAAATGATTGATTTGCCTTAGTTTCTGACGGTTTTTGGCGTTCTCACCTTCTCGGCTTGCTGGCACTCCAAGACGGCCCAAGAGGCTTCCAAGACCGCCCCAAGACCGCACACGAAGCCTCCAAGAGGGCCCCAAGACGGCCCAAGATGGCCCCAAGACAGCCCAAGAGGCGCCCAAGACGCGCCCAAGACAGCCCAAGAGAGCTCCAAAACGGCCCAAGAGGGGCCCAAGAAGGGGACCACGAACCGAAAAGTCCAGCCTTCAGCCCCAAGAGGCCCCCAGGAGGCCCCAAGAGGTCCCCAAGAGGCCCCAAGGGGCTTCCAAGAGGCACCCCAAGAAGCCCCAAGAGGCCCCCAAGAAGCCCTAACACGGCCCCAACACGGCCCCCAAGAGGCCTCACCCAAAGACCCCTGAGAGGCCAACCACGAGAGCCCAAGCAACATCCGTGAGGCCTGTGACCCGCCACTCACCGCCTCCGAAAAATGGCAGCCGCCCAACCGCACCGCATTGACAACAACACCCCGACTAACGACAGCGGCGAGGCAATCTGGGCCGGCGGAATGAGCCAAGCGATTAGAGAACTAGCACTTCGGGCTCAGGAGGGGCTCCAGCTTGGGGGCCGCTCCTTCGATACAGATCGGGGGACTCATTCGTGGCCGATGCCAGCCGTGGACAGGAAGGCTCATCCGTACTTTACTCGGCGTTCCTCGGGGCAGCACACTGATCGCATGCTGGTGGCGGACTTCAAATCTGAGGGCTGGTGAGCCCCGTCGGGCCTCTTCGCCAGCTGGTCGACCTGCGCCTGCGGCACCAGCTTCTCCGCGACCGCCTCGGCGGCCAGCCGGTCGAAGGCCGCCCCGTCGAGCTCGTCTACGGCGCCCTCAGGGGGGCAAGGGGGGGAGCTGCGTGTCGTTTGCAATCGAACTCCTGGACCTCAGAAAAGAAGCAGTCCCGCTCGAAGGCCGCCCCGTCGAGCGGGTCCACGGCTGCGACAGGGGGCGGGAGGGGGCAAGAGCTCACCTTGGAAGGCCGAAAAGCGCCATACACACACACTCAACTGTCCGGAGGTCCGCGCGGATGCCGTGGGTCGGCGCGGGGCCCCCGTCCGCGTCACCGCGACCACGCGCCCTACACCCACGGTGTGCCGTGAGGGGGAGGAGGAGGAGAAGGAGGAGGAGGAGGAGGAGGAGGAGGAGGAGGAGGCGGAGGCGGAGGCGGAGGCGGAGGAGGAGGAGGAGGGGGAGGGGGAGGGAGGAGGAGGGAGGAGGAGGAGGAGGAGGAGGAGGAGAGGAGGCGGAGGAGGAGGAGGAGGAGGAGGAGGAGGAGGAGGAGGAGGGGGGGAGGAGGAGGAGGAGGAGCAGGAGGAGGAGGAGGAGGAGGAGGAGGTCTCAAAAAAGGGCAGCCTCCCTGTCTCCTCTCTGGCTTCGCGCGCGGTCCTCGGCGCCTGTGCCCGCCGAGCATATCCCGTCCTGTGCCCTCTTGAGGCCTCCTCGCCCTCCTCCCCAGAGCTCCGACGTGATGATGATGATGATGATGATGATGATGATGATGATGCTGATGCTGATGCTGATGCTGATGCTGATGATGATGATGATGATGATGCTGATGCTGATACTGATGCTGATGTTGATGCTGATGCTGATGATGGTGGTGGTGATGATGATGATGGTGGTGGTGGTGGTGATGGTGATGATGATGATGATGATGATGATGATGATGATGATGATGATGATGATGATGATGATGATGATGACGATGATGATGATGATGATGATGATGATGATGATGATGTTCTAAAGCTCAAACAAAGCTCATTCTGCGCAAGAGCAGCATTGTGACATGGTTTGTTCCGTGGCCCTCAGGCTCGAACCCGCTCAGCGCAGCGCGAGGGTACAGCGGGGGTCGCGCGAAGTCCCCGCCGAGCTCGCACACGTCACTGCCCAGTACTTTGGTGTAGCATCTGCAGCGAAAACATCATCAGCATCATCACATCACCATTGCCCCACACCAGCCTGGCGGTGTGCCTGGAGCCAGCGGCTCGGAGGACCTCGAGAGAGTCCCGACATTGGCGCGATGTTTCGACCAGCTGGCCTTCACGCTCGCGGCGGGTCCATGTCAGATGAAACGAGTTGATCCTGGATGTCGGCCTCAGGAGGCCCGTGTCGGACGCCAGGATATTTGAAAAACTGCATGCTCAGGGTGAGAAGCTGGCGCATGGGAATGTGTCGAGGCTTGCAGGCACCAGGTATAGCCAAAATCGCGTCGTCGGAAGTTGGGGTCCGCCTCCGCAAACATGCGTGGCAGTCTGGAATGATGTTGGAAACACGCCAGGCACCACCTTACCACCCCCCGGGGCGGCCATGCCTGCCACTTGCGCGGCAAGAAGAGAGAGAGAGAGAGAGAGCTGCCTTCGCGCGCACCCTCCTCCACTCCCCACCTCACCCTCCCTGTCCTCTTTCCTCCCTGCTCTCCTCTCCCCCTGCCCCTCCTCCTCCCTTCTGCCCATCCCCCTCCTCCGAATAGTCCTCATCCGCTTGTTCCTCCTCCTCCTCCTCCTCCTCCTCCTCCTCCTCCTCTGGGCTCTGTCTGAAGCCACCCCAGCACCGCGCACTATATCCAAGAGTCGGGCTGCAAATGCAGTAGGTTGATGATTGGTGGACGTGAGACCTCCGTTGGGATGGATACCTATCGCCCAACCGCCCAACAGCTTCGTGTTTAGAGGTGTAAAAGAGCATATTCCCACACACCCTCTCCACTTGTGGGGCGCAGACGGCCTCCGCGAGCGATCGGACCTAACCTGACCGTCCCAAGTGTCACCCTGACCAACGCGTCCCGGGCCCAACGAGGCTGGCCGAACAAGCCAGAGCAGAGGCCGTGCCAGAAAGCATGAATACCCTCATCGCCAGCACCATCTCGGCGTGCACTGCCCGCCCTTCACTCACGCGCCCCGCTCCTCCTGCTGTTGTCAGGCGAGGGAGAGAGAAGGAAGGAGAGGAGACACGGGCAGACTGCGACGACTAACGCTGCTGCGTAAGTAACCACTTCCCAGGCCGTGATCGCAGCTATCGGGTCGGCCGAAAGGGGGGGTCTGCAAACGAGAGGCTAGCGAATCAGCTAAGCTGATTTCTCTGGCGCCCCCCCTGCTGCGCGTGACCCTCTCGGCCACAGCCACTAACTCCCCGCCAGCACCTCGGTGGCGTAAGAGGTTAACCGTGCCAGGATGACCCAAGGGAGGCCGTAAAAGGGCACAGGCGCCATCCGAGGTCTCCGGAATTTTCTTTGACAGAGGTTTCTCCGTCGGTCACCGTCGGCCAACAGGATGGCAGAGGAGGCTCCCCTGAAGCGCCAGTGTATCAAGGAAAGGGCCCAGTGAAACCAGCTGCACGAAATAGATGTCGTGACCCCCCCTTTTCCCAGCCCCCTGTTCGTCCGACCCGAACTTCGGGAGTCACACCAGCTCTCTGTGTGGGGTCCGCGCTGGCGCCCTGACTCGTTCAGGGAGCAGGAGTGAGGACCACCGAGGCCGCAAGCGGCCCAAGGGGCGCGTTGGGGGCCGGCCTCGAGCTTCCCCTTCGCAATCTGCAGCGCGGCACGCTTCTTCTCGAGCCTTGCGGGCGGGTAGCGGAGCGTCGGGCAACCAAGCATCCACGAGAGAAGAAGGACGGAGACATGATAGATGGGGCGAGGAGAGAGCTCCCTCATAGGTTGCTCCTACTCACCTGTCCCCCGTCTCCCCTTTCCGACCTTCTTTTCGAGGAGCCGCGCAACATGCCTGTCCAGAGCCATCAGGCACCGCCAAAATCCGCCGACCCCGTCGGCGTGTGCGAGGGGCTCGTCTGTTCGAGTCGTCGTCTCCGTCAGTCGTCGTCTCCGTCATCCCCTTTGCCTGCACCCTCCTCCTCCTCCAGCCTGTCAGCGAGAGAAAGTGAAGGGGCCCTGGGACACACAAATAAATACACACAAATAAAAGTATTCCCCATATTTTTCCATATTTTCTAGGATTTTTGTCTTCCCACCCACTTCCCATATTTTCCCATATTTTCAGGGAAATCGACGATTAATTGTGTCTGTATGTTTTTTCCCCTCCTGAGAAAGACCTCGTAGTATCATCCTCGAATCGAAGGGCAGCCCCTTCCCTTCGATCCCTGTCCCTCCCGCCAGGGGGGGAGGGGTCCCGGGGGGGTCCTCGGGGGGGTCGCCCCCCGGATGCGCTTTCCCCCCCTCCCCCTCCCCCTCCCCCTCCCCCTCCACAATTACTCAATATGAATACTACTCTCCTCCTTCCCCTGATGACGGGTTGGGAGTGTTCGCCCCCCCCCCCGCGTACTGTCTTTTTACACACAGGATTCCCTGGAGTTGGGTTTTCGCCTGCATTTGTTTTCAAAATGCTGCTCTCGCTGAGGCGCCGGCCTCATTTTCGGGCCCCGTTCGTTCCGAATCGTGCTCCCGCTGAAGCGCTGGCCTCATTTCCGTGCTTCCGCTCGTTCCGAATCGTACTCCCGCTGCAGCGCTGGCCTCATTTCCGTGCTTCCGCTCGTTGCGAATCGTGCTCCCGCTGCAGCGCTGGCGTCATTTCCCGTGCCATGCCACGGCATGCAATGCAATGCTAGGTTGCGTTCCGCTGCGCGATGCCATGCCTTCAGCTGAAGCTGTGATATGCAGTGCGTAAGTGCCACGTCGTGCTATGCCATGCTACGCTTTGATCTTCAACGCCATGCTATGCAATGTTATGTTCGGGGCCGCTGTGCGATGCCATGCTTTGCGTTGCAAAGCTTTGTGATGCAATTCTTCACTACGCCACGCCACGCCATGCTGTAACATACTACGCTTTGCGGTGGTCTTCTACGCCATGCCGTGCCGTGCTCTACAATGCATCGCGTACCCTTTCGGGATCATTGCCCTGCTCGACATCCGACTGTGCGAATAGAGAGGGGGGATCTACGCCATGGCAAGGGATGGGAGGGAGGGGTAGGATGTCAGATATGACGCGAGCGCACCTAGCTTGCCCCTCCCCCCTTCCCCCCTCCCCCCCCCTCCCCCTCGTGGGGGGGTGTCAGATACGCATCCCCTCCCAGGGGTCCCTGGGCCGCCAAAACTACCAAAGGCAGGCCAAGAGTGCCCCAACAGGCCCCCGAGACGGTCCAAGAGGGCCCCCAATCGCCAGACTGCCCAGGAGACCTCCACGAGGCCCCAAGAGGCCTCCAAGAGCACTCCCGAGGGGGCGAGAGGGCCCCAAGAGGCCAAATGCATTGATTTGTCGTCGGTGTTTGAAAGATTTGGGCGTTCCCGCCTTTTCCGCTCCCCGCCGCTCCAGGACGGCCCAAGAGGCCCTCAATATCGCCCCAAGACGTCCCAAAGAGGCTTCCAAGAGCGCTCCAAAACAGCCCAAGAGGACCCCAAGACAACCCAAAACGCCTCCAAGACGGCTCCAAGAGCGTGCCCAGACGGGCGACCCGAACGGACATTTCGAGCCCTCGGCCCCGAGAAGCTCCCAGGAGGCCCCAAAAGGTTCCCAAGAGGCCCCAAGAGGCCCACACGAGGCCCCCAGGAGGCCCGAAGAGGCCCCCAAGAGGCTCCCAAGAGGCCCCCCCGAGGCTCCCACGAGACCCCAGAATTCCTCCTCAGAGGCCCCCGATAGCTTTCCCAAGAGACCCCCAAAGCATCCAAGAGGACTCTGGCCCACGTCAGCGTCGTCGTCATCGCCGCCGCCACCGTCGGTGTCATCCCCCTTCAGGGTCGGCGGCATCGGCCGTAAGGCCTTCGCAATCGAATGAAGTCATCCTCCTCTTCTGACTCCTTCTCATTATACACTGCGTGGAGCTCCCCATATGTGCATATATTCGCATGGACCTGTCCGCCGTGAATGTCTAGGCGCAAGAGCTTTCGAATATAAACGGGCTTCAGTTGTGACGGTCTGGTCATGAATCTAACTGCGAATGAATTGGAGTGTGAATGAGCCTCAGTAGTACGAGCGCGTCTCTGCGCATGAGCCTGGGGCCTCCTGGGGCCTCCTGAAACCTACTGGGGCTTCCTGGGGCCTCCAGGAGCCTGTTGAGGCCTCCTGGGGCCTCCTGGGACCTCCCAGGGAGGGAGGCTTCGTGCCCCAGGAGAGGCCCAATCTATAGCAACCGACGTACATAAAACATTGCGGATTGGAGCCGCAGGAGAAGGGCAATATATAGGAACACACGTAAAGCACAAAGGACTCGTGCCCCAGGAGAGGCCCAACATATAGGAACATAAGTAATACATTTAGGATTGTGTTCACAGGAGAAGGACAATCTATAGAAACATACGTAGAACGTCAAGGATTCGTGCTCCAGGTGAGGCCCAATATATAGGAGCTACGTAAAACACATGGGACTGGAGCCACTCCTGTTGCCTTCGGAGGCCTCCTGCTCTTGGGGCCTCTCGGGGCCTTATGTTGCCTTCCGAAGTCTCCTGGCGCTTCCTGTGGCCTCCTGGGGCCTCCTGTGGCTTCCTGAGGGGCCTCCTGGAGCTTCCTGGGGCCTCCTGGAGCATCTTGGGACATCTTGTGGCCGCTTGAGTCTTTATGTGGCCTCCTGATGCCTTCTGTGACCTCATGTGGTCCCCAGATGCCTCTTGGAGCCTGTTGGAGCATCCTGTGGCACCCTGAGGAGAGTCTGTGCCCACGAGTCTGGCCACCAAAACAAGCAAACCGGACGAGACATCCTCAAAATCTAGCCCACCTGGGAGGGGGGGGAAATGAGCGCGTCGCTCGAGGCATCCTCCAAATCTGCTCAAAACGCGAAGGATGTTGGGTCAGAAAACAAGCAAACCGCTTCAGATATCCCCACAACATGGCCGCGAACGGGACCCCCCTTAGGGGCGTGAAAATGAGCGCCTCGCTCGAGACATCCTCCAAATCTGCTCCGAACGCGAAGGATGTTAGGCCAGAAACAGGCAAACCGCTTGAGACATCCCCACAAAACGGACACGAACGGGACCGTGTCATACCCCTCGGCGGCTCCCCTTAGGGGCGTGAAACTGAGCGCCTGGCTCGAGACATCCTCCAAATCTGCTCCGAACGCGAAGGATGCTGGGCCAGAAAACAGGCAAACCGCTTCAGATATGCCCACAAAACGGCCGCGAACGGGACCGTGTCATACCCCTCGGCGGCTCCCCTTAGGGGCGTGAAAATAAGCGCCTCGCTCGAGACAGCCTCCAAATATGCTCCGAAAGCGAAGGATGTTGGGCCAGAAAGCAGGCAAACCGCTTGAGTCATCCCCACAAAACGGACGCGAACGGGACCGTGTCATACCCCTCGGCGGCTCCCCTTAGGGGTGCTGAAACCAGCGCCCAGCCTGAGACATCCTCACAATCTGTTGTGTGTAGAGTAAGTCAGACAATGAGAAGGCCTGCGTATGAGTAAGTCTGGGTATGAGTGAGTCTCAGCATGAGTAAGTCTGAGTATGAGTAGGTCTGAGTATGAGTAGGTCTGAGTATGAGTAATATTGTGTGAGTAAGTCCGGGTATGAGTAAGTCTGAGTGTGAGTCAGTCTGCCATGAGTAAGTCTGGGTATGAGGAGGAGGGGGGAGGAGAAGGAGAAGGAGTAGGAGGCGTCAGAGTAATAGCAAGAACCCCATCTTAGGATATGGGGAACTATCATAACCAACATCATCACCCTCGGTATCCACATTCCTCTGTTGTTTATAATGAACGTCCTACTCGTGATCCTACTCAACGTCATCAGCAGCAGCCTCATCAGCATCACCATCATCATCAGCCTCGTCATCATCATCAGCAACAGCATCATACTCATCCTCAGCCTCATCATCATCATCATCATCACCACCATCATCATCATCATCATCATCATCATCATCATCAGCATCATCATCATCATCATCATCGTCATCATGATCAGCATCGTCATCATCATCGCCAGCATCGTCATCATCAGCAACATCAGCATCATCAACAGCATCAGCATCATCGTCATCATCATCAGAAGCATCATCCTCATCAGCAGCATCATCATCAGCAGCAGCAGAAGCGGCATCGTCATCGTCATCATCATCACCACCACCACCATCCTCATCATCGTCGTCGTCGCCATCACCATCCTCACCATCAGCATCATCAGCATCATCAGCAGCCGCATCAGCATCAGCATCGTCGTCGGCATCAGAATAGAATCATCATCGTCATCATCAGCATCAGCGTCTGCATCAGCATCATCATCATCATCAACAGCATCACCAGCATCCACATCATCATCAGCAGCAGCATCGGCAGCAGCAGCATCATCATCGTCCTCATCTGCAGCCTCATCATCGTCAGCATCAGCATCGTCATCATCGTCATCACCGTCATCCTCATCATCGTCGTCAGCATCAGCATCATCATCATCGTCGTCGTCATCATTATCATCCTCATCACCGTCATCATTATCACCAGCAGCAGCGTCAGCATCAGCAAAATCCTCATCATCATCAGCATCAGCATAATCGTCATCATGATCAGCAGTGTCGTCATCATCAGCATCGTCATCATCATTGTCGTCGCCGTCATCGTCATGGTCATCGTCACCACTACCACCACCATCATTATCATCATCATCATCATCATCATCATCATCATCG